CTAAACGAAGATGACAAGCACAGGTAAGGGCAAAGGTTAGAGGAGGATTAGGCAATATTGATATTGAACGGTGTAAAACGTTGTAATGAAGGCGATGTGTGTTGATGGATGGAAATGCAATGTTTCATGGCAGAAAGTAATATGATAAATTCATTTATGTTATGTTATGACAGCATTGCACATCAGAAATAGCAAATATAAACAATTTGTTACAGTTACAAGCATTTGTAAATGAAACAAAGTTGAAAAAGATAAATAACTCAAAACAAAACCAGCCCAAAGCAAAAATATTTTAGACCAAAAGAGGAAGTTAGAAAAAGACAGACAGACAGATGGATGGATAGAGGGACAAACAGAAAGACAGACAGACAAAAAGAGACAGGACAAAACAAGAATATTGGTTATGAAAATAAGCTATTAGTTGCCACAATAGCCCTTAGACACCTAGGTATGGTGCTAGTTCAGCACCGCCATGAGCTGTGTAAGGTAGGGAGGATGCATTAGTCCAGTGTATGTACACATACTGTATTGAAGTGAAATTATTCAACAAGATTTGTGTTCTTGTACATTCACTGGACTTGCTGCTCTGAGATTCCCAAAAAGTACATACTTAGTCCAGGAAACTGGACTTAGTGCTTTGATGATTTTTTGGGAAACTCAGAGAAACTCATGGATAAATCATCTGGAGCTGAGCACAGCTAGAAAGACACACAATGCATGTAAACATTTGAATCTTAAAACATCTCCGCATTGAAGACATTTGACCTCAGAATCCAGGTCTTTTAGAGACAACAGGCTGCTGTTATCAGGGAAACAGTCACTGAGACTGACAGAAAGACAGACAAATTGACAGAAGACAAACCCCTCCTTAAAGTTGGGCTAGAGTAGCCTATGTGTTTCTCTTCATTTACAGGGTAAAATGTAAGTTCAATAAGTTGACATTTTAAAGCTGCAGCCATGCTAGCAGCTCTTTGAAGCTAATGTTATGGCCAAAGCAGCACTTTGTCCCAACTTCTTTTAATCAGCATTCTCATGCCACCATAACTGCTCAGTTTAGGACTTTTGCATTCACATTTGTGAATTAAGTCAAAAGAAAGATTAAGAGGCTAAGGCTGATTGTAAATGAATAATTACTTATTAATTAGTTGTTGTTTTTTTCGTTTATTTGACAAGCAGCTTAAATTAGCAGAAAGTGGCAGAGTAAAGCCTGGCGTACACTGTACGGCTGAATTGTTTTTGATGAACGACCTAAGCTCATGATTTATGTACTCACATTGAACAAACAGATTGTCCGACATGACCTGAGCGCTCACACTGTACGAGTTAACACGGGGCAGCGCATGAGTCAGTAGATACTGTATATGTGTATTTCAGTTGTCTCATATGCACGGCTCAAATACACACACCAGCAAAATCACTCACACACACACACACACACACTCAGCATCACCCATAAACACAATAGTAGCTTAGTCCTAAAAAATATTCCCTGTCATCTGGAGGTCAGCAGAAATTATTATTATTAAACTATTATTAAAGGAAGGTTAAGACATGTTAAACAGGCATGCCTGCTGTTGCCACAGCGATTCAGACATTGTCTGTCAGAGGCACAATCAGGATATAAAAGTCCAGAAGTAAGGGAAGCGTGCAGCTGTACCACCAGAATGGTCTTTATCGGCTTAAAATCATACAGTGTACGCTCAGTTTAAGGTGGTGTTTCAACATGTTGGGTTTGCACTTGGACACTAGTTGTCGTGTTAAACACTGAGAAAGCACATACAATTCTCTGGAAGGAGTTGTGGCAGCAGGTTAGGGCTGGGATAATGGAGCAACTTTGCATATTGCTGTACAAACATTGCAGAGAGACTATACTGAAGGTTCATCGCCCTGACTGTGACTATTTAAGTACAATGCTTAACAAAACACACAGAGGTTTGGTAAAGCTGTTAAAACAAAGTATACTCTGTCAGCCGGATGCAACGACCCCTTAACTGTATGATGTTGATGCAAAAAAGAATGTGAGACAACGGGTCAAAACTCCTTATTCCAGTTGACATATGATTGCAAGCGTGGACAGTAATGTTCACAATAAGATTTGATATGAGCCTGAAAGAGAAATAGATTGCGTCTGTTTGACTTTGACTTTAACGGGCAATGTGGTCATTGTGGACACTGTGCTGGCTACTGAATTTTTTAGAGGTTCCATTTGACATATATCGAGGTCATCTTAAAAAAGAAGAGCATAGCTACATGGTTTAACGCTGACACCCGCCATTAACTTAAAAAAATTCAAAAAGTTTTGTCTGGCAAGGTAGTCTAAAAATATATAGGAAGGCCCTATAAATGGTAGAACAGTCTATTAGTCCTCTTAAATGAAAGGACATCAGAACAACATATCGATTTATTTTTAGCACTGTTGCAAGGCTACGAATGTGCTCCACTTAGCCATGTCTCTATAGTTCTTAATAGTGACAACCTCATGAGCTTCTTTAACATATAAAGTTAGGTGTATAGTTATGTGTCCCAGACCCCATTACAACAAGACTGCTTTCGGAAGTCTTACCCATGATAAATACTACTTTCAATCAATCTATTTACCCTTTATCGCCTCAAGAAGAAAGTAGTGCTACTGTAAAACAAAGTGAATGGCTATGAATATTTATGTTATTATGATGTAAATATGTTTATAGGTTTGCATTGAACTATTTCCCATCCTTGTAAAAAGTTCATTTTAAAGTATGACTTGTTGGATAACCACTGTAATAGGTATAAGTTATATACCTATATAAGCTGTTGCTAAGAGCAGTATTAATACATCAAAATGTGTATAATATACTGTACGTGTATGCACAGCATTTAAATGCATGAATAATGTGTTGACATTTCAAAATAAACAGAAACTAAATTGGTCAGGGGCTGTCCACGGCTAATGCTCGTCACATGGGGGTGCACTGCATAGGGGGGAATGTTTAACCATCTGGACGACTGCTCATGCTGGCTTTGCTTTAGAGGAAAGCTGTGTTAAAGACAGTGCAACTGTTATCACATCTGTCCAGTCTGTGTATAAGAATAAATAACAGAACTTTTCTCCCAGCAGGTCACAAATATATATTTCAATAAATAGAATTGAACTCTGTCACTATGTCCTTTATGAATTACTAATTACTAGCTCCATAATCCCTGTTACAGATCATGTTGGACCTACTGGGAATCCTCAAGTGATGTTGATCATCTTGACAATAGGAATTCTTATAGTTACTGACACCATGTCACCATGGTCTCACTCAAATCTATCGCAGTATGGCACATCATTTTGTGGACCATATTATGAGATATGTGGAGATTGAGCTGATTAACAAATGAAGATTTCAGGAGGCATTCTAGATACTGGTCACCGTAGTGACATTTCAATGTGTATGTGTGTCTGTCTGTGTGTGTGTGTGTGTGTGTGTTCCATCAAATACTGAAGGTGATTGTGTCTCATTTTCTCAGATAAATGTATGCAAGTGTTCAACTGCATGTGCAAATACATGTTTATTGCAGAATACCATGAATTATTCATGCCACGTTCAGCTTCATAGGCTTAGTGCGTGCATGCTTGTGTGTTTTTTCTGCATGTTTACTTGTGTCGCAGCACATATTCTGCTGTGTTTAAATAGATGTGTTTGCAACATCAAGTCCTGTAACCATAGGCATAAATCAGCAGCACTGCACCATTAGCTGATTGGAACACACACACATACACATACACTGACACACACAAACACAATCACACACACATAAAAGCAGCAGCAGCTTTGGATTGATTGGGATCAATAACCTACATTTGGCAATGTACTGCAGAATTTATAGTGACCTGTAATGCCTGGTCTGACTGCTATCATCAGAGATCTTATGAATATGACTCATTTTAAGAACACAGGCCTGTTATCCCAACATAAAGAACATATGGGAGAAAACACATTTTTGATTGGCACTTATATGTCCTAGTGCATTAAATACATTCAATTTAAATATAGACGCCTCTTCTATGGCTCTCACAGTAGCCATAATGGTGGCAAATTTTCAATTCGTCCACTGTGGCCAATAATACTGTATCACCATGAAATGCACATTATTAAATGGCAATGGTAAATAGACATTTTGAAAACTATCTTAGAAGGATTTCATTATCTTAAAAAATGATCCTCTCAAAGCTTAAGTAAAATCTAAATTATTTCCAGAGAACGACCTAAATGGTGAAGGACTAGGAGGGAAGGGGCAATTCATAAAAAGTTTACTGTGAAGACTAGACTTGATACATGGTATACTATCTTTACTATATCTGTAACTCAGTTTGTCCAAATTCACACTGTTGTCCCTATACTCCTGAAGGGCTCCTCTTTACACATCTGGAAAGTGTGCCCTGATGTGCCAGGGTTCAGCTTAGGGCAGCCCCATCCCACTTCAACTGCTGATTCTTAAACTAGTAATGTTAAAATATTCTCTAGATATGCTATTCAAAACATTTTTACATTTTACTTTAGGTGGCCCTGTTTTATGATCAATGAGTAAGTCTCAGCTAAGGACCCCACTGCATTGTAGTTGCCGCTTTCTAAAACAACAAAAATGATTTCACTCTAACATCTGCCTATCACAGCTGGTGTTTGTCAATCGGTGCGTTTTACAATGAGGCATATTTTGTGGCGCATTTAAACATTTTCATCTGAACACGTCTCGTTGAGTCTACGTGTTGATGTGTTTGTACACCAGTTTATTATTGTGTTGGGCAGTAACATTGTTTTCTAATCAATAACGATGTATTATTCCTGTCTATTATATGGTGATGATCTTGGGATCTGCTCGAAAGGTGCCTCTTCCACAGCATATTTGGGAGCTGCCTTTATTTTTCCTGGACGGAAATTAGCTGGTGACTATTGGACGCAGTTAGAAGACATACTCTCTTATATCATGCTCCTGGCTGAACAGCATTGCCTCCAACATTTGAATTTTTTTTTCTA